TCATTCTCAGGGCATAAAAAAGTGAACTCTCTAATCTGAATTGGAGTTAACAATCCGGCAAACAAACTAAAGACGTTGAGACGTGTTGTGGCAGGGAGACAATTCCGAAATACCCTTTCTGACGATCTTGAGACTCCAAATTTCCAAAATGTTCTCAATTTCCCATTATAAACTGAAAGTAGGAATACTTATCTTCATTTTTAGGGAATACTAAAATATTGGGTAGGAAAGACTCTAAAAATGCCATTTCCGACGGTCTAGAAACTTCAAATTTTCAAAAAATACGGTTTTAAAGAACGTTCAGTTCGAAAAATTCAGGTAAATCAGTTGAAAAAACACTATTTGCAACTCTGTGATCAGGCCTTGTAGTAATTTTACCAATTTAAGGAATTTTAAGGAAATCTGAGGAATTTTCGAGCTTTTTCTAAGGAATTCGAAAATTTGATTGTGAGAGCACTGCTGTCCACAACACCAGATTAGATTGTGGGGCCATCCAATATGGCCGCCATTTGCTTCACTTATGCACAGCAGATGCTTTACTTATGAAAACGTTTTCTTTCACTTTACTTATGAAAACGTAAAGGAAGAGATAAAATTCTTCCTTTACGTTTCTATGGTAACTTGTGGGAAGGGACATATATTGCCTAGATACGAATTTATCATAAGTAGCCTCTCTTTTTTCCTTCAAATATGGCCGCCATAAGCCTCATTATGTGGTGTATAAAACGTTCTAAAACTACTTCGAAGAGATTTTGGAAGCTATATTTCACAAGTCACATAGGCAAAGATATTTGCTTTATAGTCTAACTGAACCTATAAACAGCAAACGATTAGACTGGTCAATGAATTTGACTGATTTATAAATCTCATCTCATTATAATATTCTGGCTTCAAAATCGGATTACTGAATTCAATAGGATGTTTTATCCATGAGTCTTATTTCAGATCAGTGGTGCTATAGGTAGTGCCAAATATACGAAAGCTTCGGTTTGATACGGATACAACTACCTGAAAAATACAAGGCCGTTCGCCCGGAAGATGCCCGAAGGGCTTTCGCCCAAAACGTCGAAGTTCTCTTTGTATTTTTCAGGTAGTTACATCCTTATCAATTCAATATGATCCTTTCTTATTATTGCCACCAGGGCCGCCGAGAGGTTGGCGGGGGCCCGGGGCAAATTTTTTTTCGGGGCCCCTATTTCAAAATTTTTTCCGGAAAAATTTTTTTTCGGACAACAACCTCCCCCGGACGAGTACGTTGCAATGGACCATTTGCATTATAGACTAAATTTTGATCTTGACAAAAATTTCATCACAGCTTGAAAGAGCATCACAAAATTAGTAATATTCCAAAGTTTCGTTGCGAAATGTTGTAAAATGCGGATAATATAGCCTTGCGAAATTTGCAATTTTCAGTCATTTTGGATTACAAACGGGAAATTGATGCCCCAACACCCGATTGGGCTGTCAATTTCCCGTGCGTAATACAAAATGACTGAAAAACGGCAAACTTCGCAAGGCTATATTATCCGCATTTTATAACATTACGGAACGAAACTTTGGAATATTACTAATTTTGTGATGCTCTTTCAAGCTGTGATGAAATTTTTGTCTAGATCAAAATTTAGTCTATAATGCAAATGGTCCATTGTTTTCCAGGGACTTTATCTCAATTTTTCATACCAAATTTCGATACTTAGCCCAAATCTTGTTCTTTGCCCGGAAATTGATTTAACCCACAAAAATGACTGGGGCCTAACAAAAAATTTCCAGGGCCCCCAGCACCTCGGGGCAATTTGCCCCCCCCCCTCTCGACGGCCCTGATTGCCACTACCTACACTGGTACAGAAACTTCAACTTTAAATCAGCATTAATATACGGGGTGCACAAAAAAAAACTGAACAAATTTGAAATTGCTCTCAATTTTGCAAAACAGCTATATTAGTAACCAGTTTTTGATATATAAAGCTTCTTTGGGTACTTATAATGTACAATAATGAAAAACAATTCTCAAACTCAAATTCTGTGAACCAGGGGTGTGTGTCTTTTCCAACAAATTAAAATGGCTTGCGCACGAAACTTAAAAGCGTTACTCATATTTTGAGTTAATAGATGGAAAATTTGTTGGGTTTTTAATTACTGTACAAAATTTCAGACAATTTGCTTTAGTTTAAGCCCTTTAACTTATTCATGCAAACTTACATTTTCCCTAAAAAATCAGCTATTTGCATGCTAATTATGCCTTTGCCTAATTTGCATATGTCAGCAATATGCAAATTAGGTAAATGCATAATTAAGCATGCATGCGAAAGGCTGATTTTTTAGGGAAAAAATGAATAGTTGAAGGACTTAAACTAACGCAAATTGTCTGAAATTTTGTACAGTAATTAAAAACCCAACAAATTTCCCATCTATTAACTCAAAATATGATTAAAGCTTTTACATTTCGTACGCAAGCCATTTTTAGTTTGTTGGAAAAGACACACACCCCTGGTTCACAAAATTTAAGTTCGAGAAATTTTTTTCATTATTCTACATTATAAGTACCCAAAGATACTATATACACAAAAAAAATGGATACTAATGGCTGTTTTGCGAAATTGAGAGCAAATTCATATCTGTTCAGTTTTTTTTATACACTCTGTATAGCCTTGAAGTACATATAGAGTTAGGATTTTGTCCGATTTGTGTTTATAATACTAAAACACCGAAAATACGTAAAAGAGCCATAACAAATATTTTTCTAATAAATATTTTAAACTATATTTTTGTTATGGCTCTTTTACGTATTTTCTGCTGGGCATTATAGTATTTATCTTAAGATTACGATTTCCGCTGTCTATACTCTATAAGTATATAGCAGTTACATTTGAACGGCACTTATTCCTCATCTATATTTACGGTTTATTTGTCTGGGAAATAGCTTATAAAACCATTATATAAAAATATAAATATATAAATAATCATATATAGATTGTCGCCTGCTGTTGCATTGCTTTATTCAAGAAAATGAAATATCTGAACAAAGAAACGTGGAAACAGAGTTGTAGACTAGAGTCATGTGACTTGGACTCGAGATGCAACTTTTGTAACTTGACTGGTTAATCAGATTAACGACTTGTGACTTGACTTGGACAAAATGACTCGTGACTTGCAAGAAATGACTTGTTACCAACGCAAGTCAAATGTAAAGCCGTATATAATTATCTAGTGAAAATTAACTTTTTCTACAATTGTACTGGCAATTCACTGATGTACAAGCATAGATATCTTATATAAACTAGATACAGCATCTCTTTTAGTAAAATTGAAGCCAAGAATATTCCAGCGGTTACCCCCATTTGAATAGATGGCGGCCATGTTGAAGTTTCCCACTCGCTAATAAACGCTTAAAAAACAACAATAACTTTCGTCATTTGAATAGTTTGAAAATGTATTTGGAATAGGTTTAACTTAATGTTTAAGTTCCCTGTTTAAGAAATAGAAAACATACGAGTCTTCTCATTTCATGGGAATATCCTGAGTCTGCAATCACGGCTTCAATTTTTGAATTGCAGAATAATTCCAATTACACAAGGGCCTATGAGGCCTGCATGTGTAATTAAGGTTATATGAGCAAACGAAGGGAGAAATATATGGGTTCCCACCCTTTCGTACCTTACTGGGTACAAAATCCCTCCCTGGTATTCACTAGGAGGCTTTACACGTTGAAAATAGCCGACGGAGCACACGTGGCCGGCGTATTTATACGTAAGGAGGATCACGTGATCTGGGCTTTTTTCTTCTGTTCACTTCCGTTACTGTACCGGAAGCGTTAAATTGTGAGCTAATGCACAGGAAAGGCAAGCCTTACCATTTGTTTTCCCATATATTTCGACCGGAGTTTGCGAAATATAATTAGATGCACTGTCTAGTGTATATAAGATATCTATGTGTACAAGTGACTAGTGCAGCCAGATTGGCATATCACACTATTTATGTAATACTGGGTTAAAATGGTGAAATTTATACTATGGAATTTGCGATTGCATCATTATAAATGCAATTAGTATATGAAAATTGGATTTCCATACTATTTTGAACTAAGACTGCCATACTATTTCCATAGTAAGGATTTTGAAAAAAATTTTCAGTGTAAGAGCTCGTAATGTATAGTATATTTAACAAATATAAAACATTTTCCGTGTTGATATACAGTTATATCAACACGAGTGGAAATTGGGAAAACGAGAAATTGTGTGGAAACACGACGCCCGAAGGGCAGAGTGTTTTCACACAATTTCGAGTTTTCCCAATTTCCACGAGTGTTGATATAACTATATATCAATACGAAAAAAATGTTTTATATTTGTTTTATAATATAGCACAAAGAAATATAAAGAAAGAAATTTTCCGACGTTTCCGTGTTGACATTGAGTTATATCAACACGGC